AAAATGTGAACCCAAGAATGGATTGGCATGACTTCGAGGGCATATTAAATGCTGTGCAGCGATAGAAAAGTGGATCACATGAAGATTGCGCGCGGATGAGTTGGAAAATCTCATGCGGAAATGGATTTTGTGGGCGGAAAAGGGAGGAAAATTGGGAAATTACAGTGATTAGATTGATTATGCTTGTTGCCTCACAGCTTTCCGTGTGTGTTCGAAGATGTGTTGAAGGAAATTGCTGAAGACTTTCTCTCTTCTCCTCTAAGTTTTTCTTTTCCTTCACTTCTCTCTCTCTCTCTCTCTCATGTGCTAATGTTTTCATCTGTATTTTTTTCTTGCTGTTTGATAAAAAAGCAAACAATGTGATTCTGACGTCATTCACACCGTGGAATTTGTTGAGTTGAGAATTGGGTCGATTTGGTGAATCTCTTCTCGTCTTTATTTACTCCAACTAAAATGATGTTTTACATATAAATAGGGTGAAAATTTTCTCATTTTATAACATATTGCATAACTTGTGCACAATTTTGGAAAGACCAGAAACACACAGTAGTGAATATAAACTAACAATGTGGGAGGCAATTAAGGAAGTTATTTCAAGTATTTTTGCTTGGCATTTTTCGTTTATAATAAATGTTCGACAAATGATATCGTGCTTCTATTTTATCTCACAATTTATTTTTAACACATTTGACTGTTAAATCAAATTGATGCTACAATTTATTGATTCAAGATTCTCTTCGTTCTCTCTATAATACAATTTCATATTCATTCCTTCTTTCTGTCTGGAAATGATATTAAATAAATGTTGGCAATGTGAAGTGGAAATGTCGTCATTGCAATTTACGATGTGAAAAAATATACAGTTTCATTATTTTATTTACTTTGCAAACATAAAATAGTTGAAAAAAAAAAGAATTGAAATTCATCTATAATATCATATGGAAACTCCTTGTCCAATCCAAGGGTAAAATAATGTGCTTTAAATCTGTACAACATAAATATTCTTAAATTATAACGAATCTCTTAAGTTTCTATGCAATATTTTTGTAAGACTCCAATTGAAGAGTGCTTTTTTCAGTATCTTTTCGATCATAACCTAAAAATAACAATAAAATATTACTAAAAACTTTAAAGACTTCATTTAGAAGATTTCTAGATCACAAAATTCCGAGTCAATCTCTCCTTAATTTGTTGCATAACCTTAAAAAAGAATTTTTATTATTGATTCTGCTTAGGAATTAAAAAAATCCAAGAATCAGGTTAATTTGGCAGTAACAGAAGCGCAATGAAATGAATATAGTAAGGTTTTGAACACTTCTGCTCGAGTGTACACCACTTCTGACTGTATTATCTCCCCCTTGGTCTAATCACAATTAAACAATATAAGTTGAGGTAATCAAAAACATGTCAATAAACTCTGTCGACCTTGGATTTGCACGGCAACTCAAGAAAGTTCACTTTCTTCATGCGAGAAGAGAAGAAGAAGAAAAACAAGGCCACTTTGCATGTCAATTTGTTTGATTGTTGCAACAATTTTGTGATGTGTGGTTAATTTTAATGCGGAGTCATCAATTAATTAATTTGTGGTTTCACTTTGTGACCTCATGAGAGCTCTGCAATTGTGTATGTGTGTGTGCAGAAGATTGAGACACACAGCAATTATGACAATTACTTTGATTAATAGCGTGGATTTGTAAGGAATCTTCATCACTTCCACCAATTTAAATGCTGTTGTAATTTGTCATTTGTATGGCTAAATGATGTGTTTTTTTTCTTCTTCGTCATCTTCTTCTTCTCTTTAGCATAAGTAATTATCGATTAAGTTGTGCTCGCGCGGTCATTGTGCCGCTGAAGAGCTTTTGACATTAGGAATTTGCACAATTTTATGTCCTCATAGCACGGAATAATGGGAGAATTTATTTCCATATCTCTCTATGTTTGCCTCTCTTGTGCCTTTTCCTCATCCTCCAGGGGAAGTGACATTTATGCTACATTCGCTGTACAACACATCCACACACACTATACACATATTTCCTGGCGTGGAGGAAGAACACAATAAGACTGGGAGACTCGCATTGTTGACGACTATGTAGCATTTCTGTTTGCAGTGTACAATTTAGTGAGTCAGTGACCTATATTTTCAATAGAAACTCAGATTTCGTATTCCTTTCTTCTCGTCTCTCGACCAACAATGCCGCCTCACCGAGTAATCATCGCGCAATGATAGAAGCACATGTGCGCCCCGAGGACACACTCATTTCCCTGAGGAGGAAAACCAATGGAAAATGGTGTATTTACAGTAGTGAAAATTAATTTAGGTCACATAAAGAGAGATTTAAGCAATTTTTAGGACAAGAAATGAACAGAATTTCATGAGCAATCCGCCATTTTGAAACCCTAAAAAACAGATTTTCTTTATTTGCTCGAGTTCTATGGCATGGATTTGTCCCAAATTTGAGTATGTTATGATCGGAATCAAAGCCTTTCCAATGAAACCATACTCAAGAATCTAGATCCTTCCAGATTCTTTATTTTAAGGTATAAAATTTGAAGTTAGATTTTGTAGTGTTAAAATTTAAATCTGTTTATTCTGTCTTAACGGTTTTGGACTTTTTTTAACGGTTTTGCAAATCTTTACAACTATTTAAAAGAACAGTAGTTTATCTGACTACCTTTTCATCTGTCACAGTCATAAATTCCGTGTTATAATGATTTGTAATTTTCACATGAAAATTAAGACTAAAGAAAAAGATTACAGTAAATCTCATAATCACATTATCTGCATGCCTTTTTTTAAGGTGACCTAAACAAATTTTCACCACTGTTTGTCCAAAGAGGAAAAACCGTGTGATTTATTCTCCAAACGAGGGTTTATTTCGAAATAGTTTAGCGATCATATTTACTCAATTGACTCGTCTAAAGTCAATTTCGTCTGAAGAAGTGTTCCAAAAGAGCTTCAAGTGATCTCTGGATGAATTTATAGAGAAGAAGAAGATAAAAAATTGTGTCTATATGAAGAAAGTGCCCTGATATTTCCAGTTCCTTTCTCTCTTTCTGTGATGGTGCAATTGAATTGCTCTGAAAATCAATGAAGGGAAGGGAAAATGAAATCTCTCTTGAGATGATAAAGTGAGACATTCTGTTATGTTGCCACTTGCATCATCTTGCATCCGCTTCTACTGATTTAATAACTCTTCTCGCTCTCTTTTTTCTCTCTGGAGTTGGAAGCAAACTGCGCTTGTGGGTGTTAGAGAAGAGAAGGGTCAATATGGATGGATTTTATTTGTCTATCAGAATTCTTTGCAATCAATTTTGTAATGATTAAGATGAGCAGCATCTGAATGAAGGCAATTTTAAGGTTATGCTCAAAAGTGCATCTCTAAAATAGCGATAGAAAATTGAATGACATCAAAAATATCTTCTAAAAACTGAAAGTATTTTTTAGTATTTCCAACAAAGGCAAAAGTCCTTAAAAGGATCCTACTTAATATTACGTGAAATACAAGATGTTGTGTATTTTTTGTACAATTCATGCGTAGAAGAATCCAGAGAAGGAAAGTGTCATCTTCTCAGCATCCTATAAAAGCAGAAATAGGAATTGGTAGAGAATGTCCATGGGCAATTTGAAGAAATGGGAAGAAAAAGAGAAACACATGACTGTTCGTCACTGAAGAAGATACTTGAGAAGTGAGATTGTGAAGAAACTATTTAAGGAAGTTCTTTCGCTCCGATCGGAGTCATTTCTTCATGAGCACCCCGAAAATGGTCTATTAATAGTGTGATGGAAAAGAGAGAAGAAAAAATAAATTAATTAAAATTGAAGATCGGCGACAATGGAGAACAATTGACCAATTCGCCAATTTGCTCATCAACATATGTGTGACAATGTTGAGCAGTCAATTGATCTATTGGCTTCTCACTGAGTGTGAAATTGTCATTGGGCAAAGATTGGTTGTGATTGAAATGTTCTTTTGGTGGTGCGCGAATGTGGTTGAGTGATTCTTCACTGACCGCAAGTAATCATTGACCTTTTGATGGGTTGATGGGTGAGTGGGTGGTCTTTTGGTGGCTGAAATGCACAAATTATACAATGTGACCCACGCATTTCTACGCTCCTTCCTTTGTCCATCCACGGCGTGTTTGTGTGTGTGTTTGTGTGCGTAATAACATGAGGCTTTCCGGCAACAACACTGCTGCTCCCGTTCTCGTGTGTCTTCCTCTGTTTCTCCACCATATAAAATTCAATTTGATACTCTTCTTTAAGTCTCAAGGGGCGATTCACTGTTGATTATAACAACTAATTGTGTGTGTGTTGGATTTTGTAGGAATTATCCTCTTAATTTGGTTTATATGAATGATAATAGAGGGAGGCTAAATTCGCCGCCATTTTGAATACCAAAAAAAGAGAAATGCTTGGAAAAATTCTGATGAAATTGTGAGGTTATGAAAAATTCTTTTTCCCTCAATTTAATTCCCCTTAAACTGGGATATTTGCAAATATGGTGAATAATTCAGTGTTTCTGAAAGAAATTTAGGTTAAATTTCCCAATTTAAAAAGCACAAACAACGAAAATAACATAGCAAAGAACCATTCTGTGACTGAATTGACTTTAAAAGCTCTTAATCAACCAAAATGAAAAATAATCCAATTTCTAATACAAATTTGATTATTTTGTGGGTTACTTGAACACCAGAATCGATTTTAAATCAATCACATAACCTAGAAAAATGTAATAAAATCGAATTTTGTAAGTAAAATAATGCAGGAAATGCCTTAATTAGCTGAATCGGAAGCTTTTTAGTGGAAATGTTTGAAAATTCCGCCTCTTGGTAATTGGGTTTAGCCATTGGTAAGCCTCTTGTGTCGTGCCAGACTGAAACAAGCTGACAAAGAGGCGCGAATGAGTGAGAGCAAAGACCACAAAAATCGTATCAGGGCTCGCGAGAGTCTCTTTTTTCTCCGCTTTGTAACTTGGACGAACAGTCTGATGGTGATTGCCGGTGCCTAAAAGCGTGAAAATGTGCTCAAGAGCGAGCCTACAATTGTGTTGTGGTTCATGTGAAGATTTAGTGGACATTTCCTGACTCTAATCTGTGATGAAGTTGCAGTGAAATTTCATTTGATTTTCTTTGATCGAAAGGTCGTTCGTGTGTCTGAATGTTGGGTTTCGTGGAAAGTTGCACAGAAGAAGGTCTTTTTGATGACGATTTATGGTTTATGCAAATAATATTTGTTAATAAATTTGTTGATGAATTGGAATTTCTATTGTTGACCACTAGAGAGCGCAAGCAATCATCTCTCGTGTGTTTTTGGAGGAGGAAATAGCTGAGAAAATGCTTGTGAAGCGATAAAAATACAGTGTGCATTACATTTTTTTTCTACTCCTTCATCTTTGACACTCACGAAAACATTTATCGTAACCACACAACTGACAAGAGAGTTTTGTACGCACGCTTGTGCAGTGATTTTATACCCAAGGTTGCAATGTTTTTCTGTTTTTCGCCAATATAACTCAATAAAGTGATTTGAAGCGTGTGGAATGATGATTGGTGTGCAGTGTTGAATTGATAGCAGAAAAAAAGAAAGAAAGAAATAATAGAATTGACGCGGTGGAAGGAAAGAAGCGATGTCAGTGCGCAGAACTTGCTTTAGTGGACGTCTCATGTCCGAACATTATTACTTCACAATTCCAGAACTGGAACAGATGGAAGGCATGGTCAGTGATGTGAAGATGAACAGAACGGTGTCACATGAAGCGGAAGCGTCCACAGACATGACAACATTTGATGATCATGCGGAAGAGAAGCGTCGATGGCAAGAATATTGGAGCTGGTAAAGAAAAAAAATTTCCCCCCCCAAAAGACCAAAAAAGAAAAAAAAGGCAAGAAAACTTTTACTCTCTCGCCTTCAGCGCGGCACAAATTGCAAGAAGAGAGTGTTGAGTTACAGAACACCCAGTAAAAATCAAAGACAGATCATTTGAGGAGTGTGGTTTTTCCCCTTGTGTCTTGTTTGATAGTCTTTTGTGAAGTTGCCGTGGATTTTTTGCCGTTGAAGTCATTTTGAACCTTACCGGTCATTGCAACAATACAGATTTGTAACAGTTATGAATTTGACATGTAACTTAACGTTTTTTCATACTGTTAAAACACCATTTATCCATTTTCTTCCACGTGACAGCAAGGAAATGTTCTTCAGTACATGTGAAGCGCTTTTTTTACCTGATTTCCCTTAAGAAGGTGATAAGGACGAGAGGGACGTGAAGGAGGCGATAAAAAATTGTCATCAATCTGAAAACGTCATTAATATCTCATATCCTTGATTTTGTCGTGAATTTTTCAGTTTCATAAAAAATACGAATCGCAAATCTTAAGTTGCATCGACCACTTATAGTTTTTAATGTACAATTTAGAATGATTGTGTGTGTGTGTGAGTGTTTTCTTTTGTAGGATAAAGTGTGTGTGTTTTTTTTATGGGTTTTCTGGACACTCTGGATTTTTCTTTGTACATTTCCTGTGTGTTGACGCTATATATATATTATCTGCTATCTGCCCACTTTCAGCGTGCGACTGTTTTCTGTTGTGTTCTTGTGGGAAATGTGATTGTGTTCTTCATCAGCAGAGTTTGGATAGAGAAAGAGAGAGAGAGAGAGAAATAAAAAAATATGAGGCTTTATAGAATGAATATTTAGTAACATTGTGTTTTCTTTCGCACAATCCAAGATGAGACAACTTAATTGTCTTCTCTGCAATTGTCTTGTTCTCTCGATTGGAATTGATGTGTGTGAGAGAGAGAGAGAGTGAGAATGCGCGTGTGAGGGTGGAAAAAATGCTGCAAATTGCTGCCAATGACAAGAATGTTGTGTTGATAAATCTCTCTTGTCGACAAAGAAGAAGAAGAAAAGTTAATAATGTTGCTGTCATTTGTTTTTTTTTCCTCTCTAATGTAATTCATGTAATTTTTCCATGGTAAAATTTTCTCACACGCAAATCACCCTTTAATTTCTGCAATTGCAAATATTTATATAGTCATGTATAATTATATAATATAATTATATTTGGTCAGTAAAAAGTAGAGGAAAATAGGTCAGTGTTCTAATTGATTTTCACATGTATTAATTGCTATTCTTCACACAATGTTTGTAGTCCCTAAAATCCACTGCCCCACTTTCCCCTATTTGAAATGTACGACTGATCAAACAGCAAGATTTATTCCTTCGAAGACTGACCATAATTGAATTATTTACTGACCAAAGGATTAAACTCCGTTTATTGTGTGATTATTTAGTTGTCTTTTCTTTTGTGCTTCTGTGCGTCTTACAAATGTCCACGGATAATCCATTTTTGGCATCTTTTCTCTCCCGCGCGCGCGTGTCTTTGCAGTGAACAGAGCATAATTGGGGCCAGGGCGTCGGTGATGGTGTACGATGACATGAACAAGAAGTGGGTGCCGTCGGGCAGTTCGTCGGGACTGAGCAAGGTGCAGATCTACCATCATCAGCAGAACAACACATTTCGCGTGGTTGGGCGCAAGCTGCAGGATCACGAGGTGGTGATCAACTGTTCGATACTCAAGGGGCTGAAATACAATCAGGCCACGACAACATTTCACCAGTGGCGCGACTCGAAGTTCGTTTATGGGCTCAATTTTTCCAGTCAACAGGACGCCGAGGCGTTCGCCCGAGCCATGATGCACGCCCTTGAGGTGAGAGAGAGAGAGAGAGAGAGAGACATCTGCACGTGCTGCTGAAGATGCTGATGAGATTGACACACGCGCTCTTTTTTTCTTGCTCCTCTTTCTTCCGTCTTCCAGGTGCTGAGCGGTCGCGTGATTCCCACAACGGCCCCACCCCAGCAGGTGGTGAACAACAACAGCACGGCGTACGAGGAGGATATGGGCTACAGGACAATGACACGCGAAGACGCTGCCATCATACAGCAACAGCAGCAGGTTGTAGGACAGCAGCAAGGCATCGCGCCGTCGCCACAGACGCCAACAACACAAATTCCACAGAGTCCGCCGACACCTCAGGGACACCATCGCACCAGCAGGTTAGATTCAGGGTAATCGATGTTGTTCTCTCCTTTCTTTCACTCTCGCACGCTGTCTCGGTGATTTCCCATCCCCTCGTCTCTCCCACTGGCCAAATTGCCAATCACATTTGATACTTGTCGATGCAACTTCAAGTTCATATCTTGTAAAATTATCTTATAAGATATAATGGAAAATTGACTAAAGCTTAATAATTTCAAAAATTTAGCGTTAATATCGCTGCGAATATGCCAAATTTACGTTTTAGCACAAAAATTGAAAATACTCAACTTTTAAGATGTCTTTTGCTGTTTGAAAAGACGCTGTTTGAAGCTGTCTCAGTGCTATAGTGCCCTGCTTTTCCCTACACATATTTGACCAAGAATCCTGTATAAATTCTTCCTGAGTTCTTCTTGTTTATTGGTGAATGCGCATTAAGATTGAGGTTGAGTTGAGATGTCTTTGTTGTGTTTGCGCGCTTGAAGAAGGGAAGACTGGTCGAGATTGACTGAATGCAGATCCTTTTGCAGTGCTCCGCCGGCGCCGCAGCCGCCGCCGATGGCCCTGGCGCCGCAGGGCTACGGCCAGCAAGTGGTGCAGCAGCCCGGCGGCCCGGCGTACCAGCAGATGCCGGGCGGCTACGGCGGCCAGCCGGTGCAGAGCCAGCAGTTCAGTCAGCAGCCCATCTACGTGTCGTCGAGTGGCCAGCAGATGGCGCACCATCTGCAGCAGCAGCACAACCAAAACGGACCAATCTACGTGTCATCGCAGGGCGTGCCGGCGGGCCTGCCCAGCTCGGCCAGCACCACGAACGTGTACGCGCAGCAGCAGCCGCCGCCGATGGGCTACGGCCAGAGCAACGGCCAGACGGCGGCGCCCGCACAAGTGCCAATTCCGCCGCAGATGCCGCCGCAGGCGCCCCCGATGCCGCCCTCGTTCGGCGGCGGCGCCCCACAGCCTCCGGCGGCCCCACCGGCCCCCGGGCCACCGCCGCCACCTCCGCCGCCGACCATGAAGAGCGACGGCCCGGCGGGCGGCATGGACATGAGCACGCTGGCGGCGCAGCTGCAGAACGCGCGGCTGCGGCGCAACCAGAAGACCACCCCGCCGCCGGCGGAGAACAGCGGCAGCAGCACGAGCAGCGGCAGCAGCGGCAACTACGGCACCATCGGCCGCACCACCACCGGCATGGCGTCCATGATGGACGAGATGGCCAAGACGCTGGCCAGGCGAAGAGCTCAGGCGGAGCGGAAAGAGGTGAGAAGCCACAATTTCCACGCTTCTTCCACTGTTGAGACTCTTGTTTGCGTTGACAAGGGCGCATTTGGCGTCTTTGGACGAACTTTTGCTGCAAAATTGCTGCTTAAAAGAGAGAGAGAAAGAGTTAAGCTTTGATCTAAATTGATGCCAATCGATGGAATTGAAGTTAGTTCAAAATTTTGTGAAAAGTCAGATGAATCGAAAACGATGAAAAGTCAAAATATCGCCCTTTTTCAAGATGATGAATTGATATTTTCATGGTAATACAACACTTAATTGTCCGTTAAAGTGTATATATTGCTTTGTAATAATTATTTTGTAAACATTTTAATTGATTTTATTGATTTTTATTGAAATTTGGAAATTGCAGTCGCTTAGTTTGCCATTAAACACATCTTGTTCCTCTTTTCAGCCGGACTCTGACGACCTGAATTCGTCAAAGCGACCGTGGGAGAAGTCAAATACGCTGCCGCACAAGTTGGGCAGTGCCGCCGCGGCGGGGAACTCGTCGTCGCCGGGCGGCGGCGGCGGCGGAGGTGGAAATTCAACGGGTGGCGGACCGGAGTCGCCGCGACCACAACGAAAGCGATTCGGTAGCGCTTCAGAAGAGACAATCCTAAAGGTTAGTTGAGGAAAATGTCACGCGACTCAAGGGGGAGATAATGTGGTCAATATGGTTATGTCATGAATTATGGAGAGATTTAGGGGAAATTTGCATTCTCTAACACATCAATTCTGGAGCTGAAGTCAGTGAAATCGCCAGTAATTAACATAATTAGGCATTTTCAAGCAATAAACACTGTTCTTCTGCACCGTTGATGCCTAAGAAACACTGCAAATTGTGTTAAGATCGGACATAACCACAAAAATATTAATTTGAACTGGTAAAACACATATTTAGACAACTTTCTGGACGATTTTGACTCTGAATCAGCAATTTTAACTTCATTGGCAAATCATAAGAGATGATTCTGTGATCTAGAAACCTTCTAAACAAAATCTTTAAGATTTCTTTCGTAATATTTTGAGGTTATGATCGAAAAGATACTCAAAAAAGGGGTTTTTTTTAGTCGTTTCTTATAGAAATATTGAATAGAAACAGCCTAAAACTTGGTCAGGCAATTTTGGCAGTGTTTAGAAAGTGACGTATAAATTGAAGGCGTATTTTGGTTTATCAAGAAAGATGGAAAATCACTTCTCATGACATTTCAAATACGAAATAACTCGAATTTAGCGTCAAATGTCAAAAATTATGTCTGAAAGAAGTGATTTTATTGCTATAATCGACCTTTTAACACGTTCAATTACGAATTAAAATCAAAACTCTTAACACTAAATGTTGGAAAATCGCTACTAAAATATTTTCTCTTTCTTCTTTTTGGGGTTTTCTTTCACAGCAAGTGAACGGCGATGGACTCTCACTTCCTCTCACGGCGGAACTCGATAACATTAAGGCTGAAATTCTACGCGAAATGAGAATTGAAATAAGTAAGGCGAAACAAGAGATTATAGAAGGTAAGGAAAAAGTGTGTGAATAACAGAGAAATTCAGTAATTTGTTTGGTTTTTTTCTTGCAGTAATTAAATCGGAATTCAACCGGAGGTAAAAAAAGAAAAAAAAATTCTGTGCTGAATTTTTGGGGAGGAACAAAGGGATGATGATGAAGAAGAAGAAGAAGGTATGTCACAATAACAATTTACTGCTCCTCCTCATGCAACTATTGTGTATTATTATTGATGTAATTTATGATGTAATTTTAGGGGGAAGAGAGAGAGAGAGAAAGAAAAAAGTGTGAATCAGGAGAGATTTTTTTTGTAATGAAAAGAGAAGAAAAAGAAACATAATTATTGTAAGCGATATTTAAAGCGTAACAAATCTCTCTCAATATTTGCAAAAAAGAGAATGAAGAAAAAAACAGTTAAAGACAAAGACATACAAAAAACAGCATTCGAAGAAAGAAAATTAGCCACTTTAGTAAAAAATATAATGTGTAGAATTGAAGAAGAAGAAAAAATAGTTAATAGAAGAAGAGAAGAAACATGATAAGATTTTCTTCCTTTTTGGCGAGCAAATGACAGTTGATGATGAGATGGAGAAGAAGAAGAAGAACAACAACAAGACGATTCAAAAATCCGTTCCCGCGAGAGTAACTTATATATATATATACATATATTTCCTTTTCAGTATTCTTTTGTGTGAATTTTTTCGGTTTTGTATTTTTCTAACCCAGATTAAAATTAGAAAAAAAGAAGAAAAATTGTAAATCGGTTTCAAGAAAGTGAAAAAAAATGCGATTTAGTAAATCTTACTTTGTCCTTTCATTTATCATACAAAATCTCATTTGCAAAATCATTCCACAGAGCATTTGAAGAAAAAGAAGAAGAAGAAGAAGAAGAAGAAAAAACATCAAATTTTTATATTTGAAAAACAAAGAATAAAAGAATAACCTGAATTTTCATCTTCCGATTGTTTTACAAAAGAAAAGAAACAAAGTCAGAAACACTTCCAAATAATTGCAATCATAGAGTTCAAATATATTTTTTCTGTTTTCCTTTTTTTCCAAAAGAGAAAGAAGAAGAAAAAAAGCGCAAAAATTTAACTCAGTTGATTATTTGCTTACAATGTTAAAAAAAACAAATGAGAATAAAGATTATTTTTATACCAGGGAAAAAAAGGTAAGAAGATGAAGAAGAAAACAACATAAAAAAGAGAACTTTTGAAAAAAATAGAAAGTGAAAAAGAATATATAATTAATTGCATATCAACACATGAATAAAAAAAATGAAAAGTGAGACTCGAACTGCTTTGGCGATAATTTCGCTCGGATTCTTCGGAGTAGGAAAAAAACAAGAAAATTATTTATATAGAGAGAGAGAGAGAGAAAATAATAAGGATGAGAGATGAAAACAAACTAAAGAAGATAAAAAAATATGCCATAAAATATTTCGACGATGAAGATAAAAGCGTAATATTTGATATATAATGAAATATATAAATATTAAAACTTACTATTTAAAGGAAAATATACCTTTTACATACTTAATCTCTAGACAGAGAGAGAGAGAGAGAGAAAAGGAAGAGAAAGAGTGCAGAGCAGAACTATTTCCAAGGGGGAGATAATATGCCTTAAATGTGTACACAACTTCTGAACACGTCAAAATTTGCCTGACAAAATCTAGAACTTGAAGTTTTTAGACTGCGAATAATTAACGATCTCATGGACTTTAGCATAAGAATTCGTCCCTAATTTGTGACATAACCTATAAAAATTACTATTACGATTGTTTTTTGTGTAAAAATCAGAAAGAAATCCGAAATATTGGCATAATTTGTCAATAAAATAAGCACTCAGAACAGAAATATTGCAAACTTCTGAACACTTCCACTTCTTAAGTACTTCAAATTGAGTTGTACACCACTTCTGGACTGTATTATCTCCCCCTTGACTAATCCTATGATCAAAAAAATGTAATATAAAAAGAATGGATATCGATTTATTTGTAATTGCTTTTTTGGGAATATTGAAAAGAAGGACACGAGAAAAGGAAGGAGAAAGAAAATCAGTTTTTAAATAAAAAAAAACTAGACGAAGAGGTAAAATATAAATAAAAAATATATACGTGTAAAATATTAGTTTGATGGAATATTGAAGCCCAAGTAAATGAACACAATTTTGATACAAAACAAACTATTATATACAATTATGAAAGGATTTTTTTTATTAAAGAAAAAGAAGAAGAAAAAAAACAACTATAAATGTATAATGTAGTGAATAATGTAAAACCACCCATTAAAAGTTCATCTGTTTCACGAAATAATTAAAAGGAGAAAAGCAAGAAGGAGTAAAGAAAAAAAAAACATGCAAAAGACAAGCGCAATGTCCACAAATCCAGACATTTATTGCAATAAACTTCCGTCTGTAACACATTAAAGAAGAAGAAGAAGAGGATGAGAAAATAATACTTAAACATAGTGTGGATAAAATAGAGAAATCATTCATCCGGAAATACCGACTAAAATAGGATTTAAATAGACACAACAAGTAATATTTAAATCTTAATCTCTAAATAAACGTTAAAGGCCTCGTCGTGCGCATTTTTCTATTTATATATATATATTTGACTTTATAGTAAAAAAAAAGAAAAGAAAAGAATACAAGGAAAAGAAATTACGACTTTGTGGAAAAGAAAAGATTAATTTAAAACAAAAAAGAGGAAAAAACAGCAACTTCACTAATCATAATTATTTAATGAAAAAAAGCATAAAATTTACACGCGATTAATAAATTAGTTCCATTGTAAATACCGCAGTTTTATTATTATTATTATTATTGCTATAATTAATATATTGAAGGAAAATTTGCAGTATTTAATGTTTTTTTTTCTTTATTCTTTTGTAATAATAAAAGAGACATTTTTGGACATTTTCAATTTTTTTTGTCATTCTTAACCATTCTTATGCACAAGAGAGAGAGAGAGAGAGAGAGAGAAAATTGCACAGTAAAAAATCATAGAATCTTCCATCACACGCGGAGCTTATCCACATTTTTTAAAGTGTGGAACAAAGAGCTTTTTGGAAAAGTGCCCTCTAGTGGGAGAATTCTGTATAACAGTTTTGAATGGAACTTATTGGACTGAGCTTTTAACGTTTCTGAAGAGCGACAGGCGTTCTGCCGCTCCAATCCTATCCGGGTCGATAAAATAAATAATTTTTACTGACCAATTATCTGCAGCCATAAATAACTAGAGAATGTTTGTTCTCTTTTGAATACAATCAATGGCTTCAAATTCAAAGAGTTGCAATTGATAATAAAATTTCGACTTAAAAACCTCTGCAGAACTTTCTTCCTGATCCGGAAAAACAGGAAGCGCAAGAATTAAAATCTCTGCAGCATAAGGTCGCTCTTGAATAGCAATTATCGTGTAGCCTAATAAAAAATACAGAACAGCCTTTTTTCCAGAGAAAATGGATACTAATAATCTGACACAGCTTCTCCATTAGAGGAGATATTCGAGACAAGTTCTTGTTTTACGGTGGCAGATTGTCAGCTTGCAGTGGTTCTAACGTCCACCTTTATATATACAGAGACAGAGCACAAGACAATTCCAGTGAAGCATATATTTCAGTTGGAACATTCAACAACATTCAACCATTCTTCTGTGTTCGAACATTTGCAAGCGGTGGGATTTGAACACACGACTGTCGCATCGAGAGTCAGACGCGTTGACTACTGAGCCACAGCCACTCTATTTTAATAATCTTGGGTTGTAACTTTATCAAATACTACAGCCCAGAGAAGATAAAGAAATCGTACGTGAGTATTTTTGGGGAAATCCAATCGTATGACGCTCATACTCACTGCCTCCAAACTTTATCGTGGATTCACGAGAAGAGAAGGTGTCCGATAGCGAGTCGGTTTCGTGTATCTTGTAGCTTCTGGTTCTTTATCTGACTCAAGAGGTCTCATAAATTGAGATCTCGTGGTCTCGCCGAAATGTTTATAATCTCTAGGATTCGCAATTTGATTATTGATTACCTTGTTTTGGCTCGCGGGGGGAAAGCGCCACCACGATAAGATTGCAGTTGGTCTGGAATGAGCAGGAGTTTGGTATAAAAGATCACGAAGTCTGTGAGGAACGCATTCAGTGAGAAAGTCACAGTCTGAAGATGAACAAGCTCAGTTTGGTTTTCGCTTTCCTGTTCCTGGGAGTCGCCATCGGCGAGATGCTCCCTGGTGAGATGGAGTACGTGCAACCCGAGGCTGTTTACGGTAAGTTCATCCGTTGCCGAAGTCTAGAATCGCGGAAATGCTGAAGTGTTTCCTTGCAGAGCGTCCGGCCGAGCCTGCGCCTCTGGGAGTCTACTTCGAGCCCGATGACTTGGACGACAATCCCGAGTTCCAGAGCCGTGTCGTGGGAGGAACTTCTGCCACTTCTGCCGCCCAGTTTCCGTACCAGGCCAGTTTGAGGACTGCTGCCAACGCTCATTTCTGCGGCGCCACGATCATCGGAACCAGGACTGTTCTCTCCGCCGCTCATTGCACGATTGGACGTGGAACTGGCGCCACTCGTGTCGTCGTCGGAACTCATCTCCGTCTCTCCGGAGGAATTTCCCACGCTGTCAACAGGATCGTGAACCATCCTAGCTACAACGCCAACACCATCGCCTTTGATGTGTCCATCGTGCAGACCAGCGCCACGTTCACCTTCAACAACAACGTGCGCCAGTGGGGAATTGGATCTGCCCACGTTGGAGGCGGAGTCACCGCTATCGTCTCTGGATGGGGCCAGACTTCTCACCCTGGAAGCCTTCCCAACGCTCTCCAGTGGGCTTCCCTGACTGTCTTGACCAACGCCAACTGTCGCAGTCGCCACACCGCCAACAACGCTCAGCTGGTCTTCGACCACAAGATCTGCACCTTCACTCGCGTCGGCCAGGGAATCTGCATGGGCGACTCCGGCGGCCCACTTGTCATTGGCAACAACGTCATTGGAATCCCATCCTGGGTCATCCCATGCGCTCGTGGCTTCCCAGATGTGTACGATCGCGTCTCCAGCCACAGGAACTGGATCATCTCGGTCATGTAAGACATTCATGATGGCATTGACTCGAAGCCTTTCTGGGCTTGAAAGGGTATTATAACCTATCTTTAACGTTTTGTTTCTTGGAATTCCAAAAATGATATTAAAATAAATGTTGTGCAATTGCATACAATTCTCACCTTTCTCGCGATTTGACTCGGATTTGGATTCAACTGGCCGAATAGGTCAGAGTGTGT